TTATAGTACATGCTATAATATAAAACACTTTCAGGTTATATATTTTATATTAGAATCTCATATTCTAAAATTGTTTAGTGCTGGGAAGAAATATGCAGTAACAGTTTTTTACAGTAAATTAATTTGTTTTGGATCATTTAAACTACAGTTAAGTATCTAGCCAATATTGCCATTTGATGAAGAATGGTTTAATAATGTCATAATTTTGGTAAATTTTGAAATAAATTTTTTTTCCCAAGACTTAAGTTTAATCATCTTGGAAAACACTGAAATAAAGGTTTTACTAATATTTTCTTTTTTTAATCTACTGTTTTAAGGAAAAGATTCTGTTGGACTCTTCTCTGAAATAACTTAAAACTCTTTTGATTTTTAGCTTGACAGCATTTTCAATGATCAGTTGAAAAGTATGTTTCCACTGGTAGTTACATTTACTTGCTGTGGAAGATGGAAATAGATTTTGTGCATTTGGTAGTACTCCTGGATGATTTAAGTAAAGCTGCTATTTGTGTCACTCTGTTTCTGCCTCTTTGTGTGGAATCCCATGAGCTTTATTAGTCCTGTTCTAGGTTTGCTTATATTGTTGTATAGCTTTAACCCCAGTTGGCAGCTCAGTACCACACAGCTGCTTGCTCATTCCCCCATGGTGGGATGGGGGAGAGAATCAGAAGGGTAAAAGGTAGAAAATTTGTGGGTTGAGATAAAGATAGTTCAGTAGGCAAAGCAAAACTTGTGCATGCAAACAAAGCAAAACAAGGAATTCATTTACCACTTCCCTTGGGTGGACAGGTGTTTAAGCATTTCTAGGAAACCAGGGTTCCATCATGCATAATGATTGCTTGGGAAGACAAATGCCATCATTCCAAACATCCCCCTCTTCCTTCTTCTTCCCCCAGCTTTACATGCTGAGCATGATGCCGTATGTTATGTGATACCCTGTGATCAGCTGTGGTCAGATATTCTGACTGTGACTCCCAGCCTCTTTGCTGGCAAGGCACTCTGAGGAGCTGAGAAGTCCTTGACTTAAAACATCAGTGTGTTATCAACACTATTCTTGTCTTAAATCCAAAGCAAAGCACTATATCAGCTACTAGGAAGAAAAATACCTCTATTTCAGCCAAAACCAAGACAATTATCTATGATGGAAATGATCAGCACTATCACTTTAGCATACATAAAAAGGTTGTTTCTAAGAGTCATGAGATTTGGGTTCTGCTTTTAATTCTCCCACAGATTTTCTATTTGATTTAATCTGGTTTAGTATTTAAAAACAGAGACAAGTAAGCAGGTGCTGTTAACTTGTAGTTGTTCAGTGGCACTGCAGAAGTATACTTTAATTAAGATTTTTTTGTTTTTTTTTTACAAGGGCATGTAGTGACAGGACAAAGGGTACTGGCTTCAAACTGCGAGTAGGTTTAGATTAGATGTTAGAAGAAAATTCTTTCCTGTGAGGATGGTGAGGCACTGACACAGGTTGCCCAGAGAAGTTGTGGATGCCCCATCCCTGAAGGTGTTCAAGGCCAAGTTGGATGAGGCTCTGATCAACCTCATCTAGTGAAAGGTGTCCCTGCTCATGGCAGGGGGGGTTGGAACTAGATGATCTTTAAGGTCCCTTTCAACCCAAACAATATATGCCAGTACTTGTGTCCTTTATGCTAAATTGTTTTCCTACAGTGAATTAAAGATATATTATTGTTTTCCTACAGTAAATTAAAGATATATTATTTGTTGGTAGTTTTTTTTCTTGATGAGAGAACAGTGTAAGAAGATCAGATTTCTTGCTTCAGAACACAGAACCCCCCAAACCAACCCAAAACCCAGATTCATTTTTTTTTAAGTAAAACTTTGAGCTAGCAGTACTTTAGTTCCTCAAAAACATTGTACCTGTCCTAGTTAGAATCCTTTTTCCATTCAGATAGTGTTTAAGGTTTCTTGGGGTTTTACTAACCTCCCAAATACCTAGCTATTTTTTATAGTTAATATTGTACTTCTTCACTGTCTGGTAATGACTGCTTAGCTGGTTGTTCTCACAGGACTTAGGAGATGGTGATTTATAGATTTGGGTAAAATATATCTGTGAGTAAAAAAGCTGGTATAAAACCTACATAAAATTTAAATCCAAAATAAACTTTTATCTTTTCACTATTATACATTGTCATTCACATTAGCAGTCTTTATCCTATGTATAAGGATGATATGCTTGTAGATTAGCATCTCTTTGGAAAATTTTGAATAGATGAGTGTATATTGTGTAGTTTTATTGATTCATCCAAGATTTCACAAATATTCATTAGAAAGAAAGAAGCCTGTACAATAGACAAACAATTCTGGAATCATAATTATCTAACAGACCAGCAAAAATCTGTTGCCATAGTGAAATTGCTTATTACAAAAATAGAATTATTTTGTGGGGGGAAATGTTGGCTACTTTTGTAGTTGCTTACTTTGGATGTGAACTGGAAGTGGCTGTTAGTGAATATGATTGTACTAGGTGTGCTTTCCTTGCACTTTCTATTATTATTATTCTACTTTTGCTTTACCATATGGAAGAAATACATCCTTAGTAATACAGATTTGAAGGAATCATGGAAATGGCAAAATTTTTAAGAGCAGCTTTTGTTGAAATTAAATGCAAATATATAAATATATATATATATAGCGAGGTAATGGAAATATGTTTGAGGTAAAAAAAAAGTTTGTTAGTGTTAGGGTTTTTTTAAAGTAATCTGATGTTTCCACTTAAAAGGAAAATTTGGATTTGCCTTTGGCTTTAATTCATTCTTTTCCATTCACAAAAAGGTTCACTTGCATGTTGTGTTACTCCATTAAAAACATTTCCCAGATAGTGCCAGTCAGAATTAATAACAGCTAAGTCTAGCATTTTCAAAGAAAGTTTAAAAAAAGGAAAATAACTCTCTTTTTTATTTTTCTCATGCATCAGCATTTTCTGTTAAAAAAGAAATAATTGGAACAATTGTATATTTAGTGTCAAAATTGTTATTGGCTGAATAGCCTACTTTTTCAAATGTTTTTGGCCCTCATAATGCTGCATCTCTGTAGCAGTTCATTCTAGTTCACCTGGATTTATATATTTATTTGCTTGGAAAAAAATGATCCTGTCTGCAGTGAAATATGTGTTTCCCCTTCAAATATATGTTATCTGATGAAATTAAAATAAAAGCTTTTTAAGAAGCCCATAATAATATCTCAGAAAGACTTAAGACTCAAACTGAAATCTGTCTTCTGCAGGCAAGCAGATTAGCAAGACTAATGGTGAGTGGATGGGCATACTACCTTTTTTTGCCAAGATCCTGCTGTCCATGTTTCTTCCCCTCCATATGTTGCCCTGTTTTTGTAAGCACTGTAGTGATGTTTGAGGCTTCAGCTGACTGCAGGATGTCACTGTCAGGAGTGCTGTACATGTCCTGAGCAGCAGTCTTCCTCCTGACAGTAGGCAAGGGCAGTGAAAACAGTGAGAAATTACATGTTGTTCCCTCCTTGCAGACAGGGAATTTATCTCTCACAGTCATGAGATCTGAGGACAGGGCAACCAACCACCAGAGCAAAGCTCTCCATGATCTGTATAGTACAACAGTCAGACCAGTCTTGTGACATGTAGTGAACCAAGCTCTTTCCACCTTCATTTTTTTTCGAATTTTCCAAATGTTTTATGTGTTTTTGTGAAGTCTGCAGGGCCTGGTAGTTCAGGCAATAGATGTATTACTGTTGTGGTTCTAGGGATGATTTTTTGAAAAGAACTATGATTTTTTGTGCCCAGCTGTATAGTCTAAGGCCAGTGACCAACAGGGCACTAAACCCATCAAAATACTTGGATGTAAACAGCATGAAAATATTAATTATTGATCATAATAAATTTGAAAATTTCCGGAAGTGTTTCCAATAAGGAAATACCAATAATTTCCTCAGTAGCAAGGTAAAACAGTGGTTTTTTTTAATTTAGGTAGTATTGATACATGGTTCCTGTAGAAATCACGGGTGTTTGGATACAGCCTTCAGTGATATAATTTCTCTCTTAAATAAACATAGGCATAATCATAAATTCTAATTAATTTTGTCTCTCTGTAAACTAATGAGCTAGAAAATCCATTTTTGCTGATACAAAGCTAAATATTCAGGCTAAGGAGAGACCCCCAATTTAAAAAATTGAAAAGGATAGTTGTCTTGTCAGCTGATGCAGCTTTCTATGTCTTTACAAGCCATTAGGAACCAAATTTATAAAAATTCTAAAGATCTTTAGGGGTAGAAGACCGTTTATGGCTGGAGGTAAAGAGAGAGGCTCAGATGACTCATAGCTCTTAAGTTAAGCTGGACTCCTTTCATTGCTCTCTGAAGACCTGTGTGTGTGTATGCAGGTGTGTGTATGTGCTCCAAGGTTAAAGCACGTGTTGCCTTTCATATCTGTAATAGTTACAGTAGAATGACTATGACTTTATCTTCCAGTATTTCAATAAATTAGAGTAACTGTAGGCTTTGTACATGACGAGTACAGGTGATACATCTTGAATTTTCCTTTTATTGAAAGAATCTTGATATTTCAAATACAGTTCGCTTTTCCTTGTGCCAAAAGCATGTGACTAGGTGGTACTTCTCAGCTGGCTTGCAAGTAAAGTTTTTTTTGTGATTCTGATCTTTTAAGTCCATTTCTAAATGGACCTTAAGCTCCTAGTTTGATTAAATGTTATTCAAGTATTTTAGCACATCTTCTTTTAATCAAATCAGAGTTTCAAAAATAATGGAAGTGTTAGTAATAAAGTGAAGTTGTGGTGTTTTTTTCTAAGGAAAGAGAGTAGTAAGTTCAGATACCTTTTTGGCATCACTCTGACTTCTGTGTCTGTAATGTGCTTGCTTTATTTGGCACGAGTGTCCGCATATAGTCATTTGTATTTCATGCAGCTAAGAAACAGTTGTCTACTAAGTACTAGTGGATTAACTGTATCCCATAACTGATGCAACAACATTGAATCAATTTCTCTATATTTCAGGTGATCAGACTTTAAGAATTTGGGATGTGAAAGCCCCGGGAGTCAAACTTGTGATACCAGCCCACCAGGCTGAGATCTTGAGCTGTGACTGGTGCAAATATGATGAGGTATAGAACTGTTCATCCCACTGTTTTCCTAATTGAACCACTCTCATTAAATAGCAAGTGTTTCTGCTGCAACAATATTACATCTTCTCTTTATAAAAATATGTCTAGGTGCTTTGTTGCTCTCATTCACTATTACATCTCCAGAAGAGCTTTGTTCCAATGGATAGACAGCCCAAGTAGGTCAGAGATTTTGCTTATTCTTTCGTATAGTGGACAGAATAGCCTGTAGTGGAGAAACAGTTTGTATTTCTCTATGGTCTTTAATGTACACACTGGAGACCTGACCTCATTTATCATAAATATGATTTATTCATCTGTATTGTTTGATTTATCTAACTTTTGTAACCAACATATGCATCACTGCCATCTAGTAATTAAATTGTCCTGGTATATCTGTGTTTTATCAAATCATCAGAACTTGCTGGTAACTGGTGCAGTTGACTGTAGCTTAAAAGGCTGGGATTTGCGGAACATCCGGCAGCCAGTGTTCGTCTTGCTGGGTCATACCTATGCTATCAGAAGAGTAAAAGTAAGTTGTATTTTATTTCCAATTGACCATCACTGAATTGTTAACCAAGTTTTTCTGGAAAGCAGTGATATTTTATGTTATCTAATAACTAGGAAAAAAACAGGATTTTAGATGTTACAGTGACTGTTCTTGAAAACTTTCAGTTTAGCACTGTAAAACATTATGATGTTTAGGAGATTTCCAGGATTTCAAAGTAAATATCTTCAAAGTCAATATATTTCCACAAGGAGTGTTAGAGAGCTTGAGAGAGGGCTAGGAGGGTTTACTTCAGCTAAGTTATATGAGAAATTGGAGACAGAGAAAATACTTTCCCTTTCTCATTTTTAAATGATGCTGTGCCTTTATCTTTCCACACAAAGGGTCAATATTCACAGAAGACACTATATAGAACTTGTTCTGAATACGTATTTTTCTGTTTACAAAGAAAATATTAGTAAGAGATTTTGAGATTCTAGCATGAAAGGCTACAGATGACTATATTGGATCTGTGTTCTACTAGATCAACCATCAACAGGAATTTATTCTGATGCACAATGGCTTTTTTTTAATATTATATGAAAATATGTATCCAAATATCTTTTTAGGTAAACTCAAAAACTACACCTATGTTTCCGTGTAAGATACTGAAGCCAGCTAAGAATTTGAGAGTCAAATGCACCAATATCAAAGTCTCATGAAAAGGGAGATAACACCTGATTCTTTTAAAGCCTTTCCGGAACAGGTATTAACATTTTCTAGGAAGTCTGAACTGGAAAAGAAGTTACCCTGAGTCAGTATTTTGCTTCACATGGCCTTGGAATCTTTAATATGTTTCTAAGAACTTTAGAAGCTACTGTGCTTAGTTTGTAATTTGTCAGAAAAGGATACGACACAGGTAGTCATTCTGTATCACAAATCCTGTTCGTGGTCAGACAACCTGAGAAGCTCCTGCCTCTCCTTATCCCGGCTACCACAGCCTGCTATCCCAACTGGTGGTTGATGCTTAGTCTTTTTTTCTAATTTAATGCCTGCATGACCACGCTCTTATCTGGCTCTGTGAAAGGTTCTTCATAGCAGAAGAACAGTTAGCAGTGCTGTTTGAGTTTGTTTATTTCTTCTTGTTTTTTAAACAAGATAATTTTGCAACTCGAATTTCACAGCCATTAAGACAAATGAATCAATACAGACTGTCATATTCTTACTCCCTGACAGTGGCATCTTTTAAAAACAACTCTGCCACTAAGGGATTCACAGCACATTGTCTTCATGATAAAATGGAGAAATTGAATGCAGAATTGTTATTCACCCTAACCTGTGATAATAGAACTAAAGGATACAATGAAACTTTTGAAATGTGTTTACAAACACATGGGAGTACTTCTCTTACACATCAGGCAGTAGACTTGTTGAATTAGGTCTCTGCACAAGAGGCTGCATAGGCAGGCAGTGTCATCGGGTTCATGATAGCAGCTAGTTGATAAATAGATACTGGAAGAGCTTGGCAGGGATAGCACGTCTAATTTTTCTGCTTTCTTTCATCCTGAGCTGGATTAGGAAGAGTACTGCCAGCAGGCTGGGGGAAGTGATCCTTCCCTGCTACTCACCACACCAGTGAGACTATGTATGGAGTGCTGGGTCTAGTTTTGGGATTCCCAGTAAAAGGGAGAGCGACGTAGACATGCTGGAATAAATTCAGCAAAGGGCCGTAAAGAAGATTAAGAGACTAAAACCTCTGTCCTACCAGGAAAAGCTGAGAGAGCTGAGATTTTTTTAGTGTGAAGAAGGCAAGGCTTAGGAGAATCTTACCACTGTGTATGAATGATTGGGGGAAATAGAGAAGACAAAGCCTGACTGTTCCCGGTGGTATTTGGTGACAGGACCAGAGGTAACTGGTATAAACTAAAATTCTGAAAATGCCATGTAAACATCAAGCACTGGACTCAAAGATTGTCAACCTCACGAGGTAGGGGATCTTATATATTCTTATGCTGTCTTATTCCATTTTATGGCCCATCATGCACCTTGTTTTCTTAAAATGGCTTGAAATTTTTATTAAAAGTTGGTCACCAGTAGATCTTTCTTTGCACCATCCTCTGAGATCTAAGCCACCAAGTGGTTTTAAGGCAATGGTGGAGAGGCTGAACATGCATCCATGTGCAGCAGAGAGGTATGTGAGAGTACATGACTTCTGTTCCATCTTAGGTGGCTTTCATTGCTTCCATTTCAAGGTAGACATGGTCCTTGTGGATATAACATGTGAGAATGTGGGCCAGCACTTAGAGGTGGTGCAGAGAGGGAGCTGGATACTGCCTAAATAGAGGCAGCTCTCCCTACTGATATCCCTTCCCCTACATTGTGCTGACACTAGCAATTATAAAGCTGTGCAGCAGGCTGGCTCATCTGATGGCTCTGACTGAAAATCCTGTCCCTAAAAGTGACTAGTTTCTGTCTGCATCACTAAGCTGTCTCAGTTTATTGCTCAACCACACAAATTGCAAGCCTTGACACAAAGGAGGAGGGCAGGAGCACACAGCCCGAAGGGGAAAGGAAAATGAAGCCACGAGTCTTGGCAGCAGTGAACTCTTAAATTAGCTTAAACCAGCCATGAAATCAAACTCTTCAGTTGTCTGTCTTTTGTGTTCTGTTCACTTGTTCAGGGGTTTTCAGATCTGAGGCTGGCAAAGAATTCTACCCAACATTATACTGTTGGGATTCCTGCAGATTTCTTGTGATCTTTCAGTGCGGTACAGGGCCTTATCAAGACACTGACATCATTTGGAGCCCTTTTCAGGAGGCATTGATATTGGTGCATTTGACTCTCACATCTTAACTGGCTTCAGTATCTTACACTGACACCTAGTTATGGTTTTTGAGTTTACCTAAAAAGATATTTGGATAAATGATCTGTTCAAGGTCAGGATAGATGATATGCTGATGTCTTCTGTCTATATACAACTGTTCAGATGATAAAATTGTAGTATCACAGTTAAATGGAACAGAATTTTAAAATACTGTCTTCTCTTGTAGCAGAAAGACATTATGCATATTCTTTCAACTTATGCGTGTAGTGCTCTGCTACGTATTTTGCATCTTAGATAAGCTTCTAGGGTACTTAAGGTTAATGACAAAGCTTTGACAAGATGTTTTTGCTTCATCTGAAACTATGCGGACAAAGAGGCAAAGGGGGTATATGAAAAGTGTACCGTTGGGTTTTGTTGCCCATCACACTTCTTCCCCTTTATTATTTGTTTTTGTTAGGTGCAGAAGAAAAAGATGTTTTGTTTTGATTTTTTTTTTCCTCCAGAAAAATGGAGGTTAAAGTTCAATCATGCACATCCCTCAGTTCTGCTACAGTAAAGGGAATTTCAGCAGAGTTCAGCAGCCATTAACATACACTGCTTTCTTGGCAACTTGGGCAGTTGTGGCAATAGCCCAGACTTAACTTTTGACTTTGTAATTGCTATGAATAATATTATAAATCTTGCAGGTAGACTTACCTATGATCCATGATGTGGGGGACCTGCATTTCAAACTCAAGTTATGTCAGTGGCTCGTGTATTTCCTGTTGAGAAACACAGACCTTCAAATAGTTGGAAACTGAGAGTTAGTGAAAAGCTGGAGCTGAAGTGAAAAATTTTTGCATAACTGCATCCTTATTGCTGCTGTTCTTAGACCAGTGTGCAGGAGTCTGTCAAAGGGTGTGCCCTGTAAAATGCCCCATAGAAGAGAGGGAAATCATGAAGTGACGTTATACTGCCTTCAGTTTTTCCACTCATCTCCAATTTTCCCATTTCTATAAACAATTTCAAAATTTTAGGATATAGAATTGATGACAATAATCTATCTTATGTTCTCTGCAGTAGGGCACAGGATTTTGTCTTTCTGAAAATAATTGACTGGTCACATAGCTGTTTTGAAACTTGATTTATATAATGAGATGATGCTCAGCCAAAAGCAGAATTTAGTAACTGTTTATATGACTGTTCTAGAACTTGTTAAATTTACGGCAGAGTTGTTTGGCACGGCTGTAATGAAATCAAAACAAACCAGGATCCCACAGAGCATTCCTTGTGATTATTAATTCTACGATTCTATGGTTTCTTGTCATTAGAAGCATGGTAGATAAATTTGTTGATGTAGTCTGTTTTGTTGCAACATGATGTGATACCTACCAAGACCATTTATAGAGTTGAACTTTGATAACTTTCTACTTATAGTAAGTCTGTATATATTCACAATGTTTTTACTTTAAAAGTTGGTTTGTTTTCTTGCAGTTTTCACCATTCCATGCAACCTTATTGGCCTCTTGCTCCTATGATTTTACTGTAAGGTACAGTACTTTATTTTTAATTGGATAAAAATAGAAAGATAATCTATTTTAATGTGGCTTGCGATAGAAAACAGTTCTAGAGAGGACATACTAAAGTGCAGTTAATGTTGCCATCAGATGTTTCATAAACTATGTTGAAAATGCACTGAAGCTTCTGCGAGTTCCCCTGGCTGCCCAGTATATCTGATACTGCTGAGAATTTTAAAGCTGATTAAAAGACCTGAAGAAGTGTAATATGATAGTGGGATTTCTCTAAGATACACGCTGTCATAAGTCAATAAACTGTGAAGTACGTTCCTGAATATCTCAGTCACATTCTTTGACCTATATTTTAATTTTCTAACATGGACTGAATGTATATTTCTAACATGGACTCCCATTTAGAAATGGGAGAAGCCCTCTTGCCTCCAAAAATTACTGCAAAGTTATCCCACTTGTCCAAATCATAGCAATTGATGTCACTTCTGGTTGTGTTCTGAGTGGTCTGACACCAGACATAGAAAGGTTCTGTTTCCAAAGGGAAATCTTGCTAATTCTCAGTGCTTGTACATGTTTCTAAATCATAAATCTGTACAGTCTTGTGCCATATATAAAGTTACATCATGAAGTTAGCCTTGTAAGCGTTGTAGGAATTCTGTTTATTTTCGAAAGTTCTACAGGAACAGCTGGAATACTCTGTTTTCTTTGAAGCTCCCAGCTCCCAGAATGCAGCTAACAGAAGCATGCAGGGGTGCAAAGGGGCTCTGAAGCTCTGCTATAGATGGTGAGGTACTGCTGGACATTGTACAGTGACAATGGTGACATTTCACAGGGACATAGTTACTGGAGCAGCTGTCCTTGGCAACCTCAGTAGCACTAAAGAGGATGTTGCCTTCTAGGTCTTAGCTGTGGGGAATGCCTGATGCCTCTTCCTGAGGCTGAGGGTGATGGTGGTGTCACCTGTGGAAGATGTATTCTCTTTGAGGTACTGAGGGGAAGGAGTTGCAGGAGGAGATGAGCAGTCTGTACACCATCAAGGGTCATAAATGCAAGATTGACAGGTCTTTACAGATATCCCTTAGAGGTGAGAGCCCAAATCCCACAGTCCAAGGAAGGAGGAGAGACAGTTAGAGACTATGTTTCAAGCAGTAGAGAATAAGGGTAAAGATTCTCTTGATGGGAAAAGCTGGAGATCTGAGACATCTGGCAACACACATTGGAGCTAGAGATTTAGTGCCCTGGAAGTGGATGAGCAACACCAGGCTCAGTCAGGGAAGGTGTCAGAATCAGCTGAGCCTGAATCAAGTGTCTGCACCAAAAGAAAAATGTGCATTATCACTGGAGACTGCTTCCTGTTGCATTCCCTCTCTAGGTATCTGTCTGCTAACACAGTTTGCTATCTTGGATGGTTTTGTTACCTCCCTTGGGTTGAGGTCCAGGAGGCTGTGGAGAAACTGCTAAGGTTTGTTCAGATTCAGAACGCTTCCTTTTCTCACTTATGGTTCTTATGTTACTGAAAGAGGTGATCATGAATATATCAAGTGTGGCTACATGGCACTGGGAGCTCAGGTGGTGTTTTCCTTGATCCTGACAGTGAAGGAGAAAGGTTCAGAGAGGAAAAGACATCTGCATCAAGTCAACATTTGGCTGCATACCTGGTGTCATGAGCAGGGCTTAGTCTTTTACAACCACAAAGTCCTTTTTAATCGATGGGGCACTGTGAGGCAGGCACAAGATTCATCTGATAATGTAGGGTAGGAGCATCTTTGCCAAGAGGCTTGCTAACTTACTGAGGAGTGTTGTAAATGACACTCAGGGCAGAGTGACTCAGGGCGTGTATCAGGGCAGAGTGACTATAATCTGAAGAGAATGAAAGCATGAGGATCAGAGAGGATTTTGCGTTTTGTGTTTTGTGACCTGTGAAAGTGACCTTACACCTGAGTACAGCAAAGGAGAGAAATGGGGAATTAGAAGTCCATGTGTGGCAGCAGAGGTATGGCCTCTTGGGGATTATAAAGAGGTGGTGGAACCACTCACAAGACTGGAGTGCTGCAATGAATAAAGACTCCCCAAGAAAGAGAGGCAAGGAAGGCAAGGTGGTGATAATGGCAAATCTGTCTGTTTCCCAGTCCAGTTACTCCCTTAAATTTTTGGTCCCTACATGGGCTTATTCCTTTCAAAAATTATGCCTTTGGATGGTGAGATTATATAATACACCTGTCCCCCACAGGCATGCTATTTTTTCACTAAAGGACTTAAGTGCTTGAGAACATTTCTTTATGTTAATTGTTATTATTTTGCTTACTGTAATAAGGTAGTCCCTTACCAGTGATACCCACTGGCATGTAGTTGCTGCTAGGGGCCCGACAGTGTAAGTACTGTGATGTCCATATGCATATAACTGTCTAGACCGCTGTACCCCCATTCTGCCTTACATAAAATGCTTAATTTTGTTTGTGTTTCAAATGCATTTCTCATAGACTAGCAGTCTGTGGAAGATTATTTATGCCATCTTACTTAACATGCTTTACTGATGCTCTGCCAGCTGGTTTGCAGTGTATTGTTTCTCAAAAGACTTCTAGGACTAAGATGAAAAGTGGTTATTGATTTCTTCCAGTGGCCTTGTCTGAGCAATAAGACAAATAATCAGCATGCTGATGCGTTGAAGTGACTTGACTGTGTTGTCATGCTCTTCCTGTTTTTGACAGCAACTGTCTGTCCTTCAGGTTTGGCTCTAACGCAGTTCATGTGGTACTGAAACCTAGTGCAATTTAGCTCTGACATTTTCATATGTGGAAACTGTCAGTAAAGACAGAGAGCTCCTAGCTCACATAACAGCGTGTCTGTAAATGCAGACCTTGGGGACCTCTTCACAAAATTCACTCTAGGCATTATTTTTCTGTCCAAATAATTACTTGTTGTGACTAGGGACAGAGGACAGGGTTGAAGAGATGAAATAAAGATTTTTAACAGTTTTCTAAAACTATTAGTTGTTGGGTTTGGTATAAGTGAACAAACAACAGAGAAGGCCAGGTGAAAGTCTTTGGAAAAAGGTGTCACAAGCGAACTATTCTGCATAATGGAGGAAACTTGTTACCATAAGACTTTGGGAACATCTCTTTTAAAGAATATATTGTACCTCTATCACATATCCTGTACTGTCATTTACAGAAAAGAATGTAGCTTACTGTAAGAAGTAGAGTTTACTTAGGAATGTTCAGAGTTTGACTGGATGCACCATACACTCTACATGCACATACACGCCCACATCCTGCCATGTATGCACATGAATATACACCACACACGTGTAGGTGTGTGGAGATGAGTATATGCACACATATAAATACATTTAAATTTAAGAATAAAAATCCTTGATAAATATATAAAAAACAGAAGAGAAGTAGGGATTCCAGTACATGGCATTAATTCTGGATCTTGTTGAACCTACTGAAGGGCTGTGACTTTTTAGTTCCATTTGATAGCAGTTCATAGAACAGCATGGTGTGGCAGTCCTTTAGAAACAGATTCATTTCAGTGTTCTTTTAATAGCAGTTTGGTTATGCGATTGCTCATTTATATTCTTTAATGTTTCTGTTTGAAGTTCAGAATTATCTGCAAGCATTAACTTATAGTAGATAACTGGATATAGCATAGCCTACTATGTAAGCTCTATAATATTAAATGTTACTGAAGCTTTATAGTTTGACCAGACAACAGCACATCTTAGATCAGATTAGCAAACTACCGTGTAAGAGGCAGGGGTTTTGTTTGTTTCAGGTAGAACAGCTAGTTTGGCACATCATCACAACTGGATATCTAAAAGCAAAAAATAGTAGCTTGAAAGCAAAGTTAACAATGTTTAGCTTTATCCTTTGCAAACAGAATAGTGATTGCATCTGTGCACTGTAGTCAAGCTACTGAAAAGAAACCTAGTTCACATGCCAACTTCATACTGGGAGCTAAGAAAAAGTTTTTACGTACTTGGGTATAATGGTTTGAATTTAACCCCTCTCCAGTAAATGCTTTGTTGAGACAAATTTTTTCTATGCAATTTCCTTACTCTTTGGAAGAGTTCAGAAAAAATGTAGGTCAATTAAAGAGCAGATTTAACACAAACGAATCATTAAAATGCCAGGAAATGCACAAAGTATTGTAACATTTCCAGGACTTCTTTAGGTCTGCATGCATATTCTTAAACATTATCTCTATCAAAATTCAGTTTGGAAGAACATCAGAGTCATCTTTTACTGGAATAACTGTTTTGTGTTTTTGGACTCTTCACTATGAAAAAGAAATCTTGGTGCATTAGGCACAGACAGTGCTCACCAAAATCTACACAGAAGATCTGATAAATTATAGAGCTTCATTAAGCTGGTATCAGGCCAGATCTTGAATTGTATTTACAGAAGCTTGCCCCTAAGGCAAAAAGGCAGCTTTTGTTAAAAATTGTACTATACTGGACATCATCTCTGCAACACACTTTCTCCAGCTCTTCATCACCATGTACAAGTTCAGTAACTTTGATCACAAATCTTATGGAATAAGGCTGCTCATAAAAAAAATTGGTTTTCACTTCAGTTAATTATCTTTATTATCCTTGTAGTGAGATATAATCCAGAGTATTGCCTTAAGGAAGGTAGGAGATGTAGCATTAATTCACCACCTGTCTAATCTGCTAGCTCCTCATCATGCAGCAACATGCATCGTACTACCTAGTACAGACGCTGGAACCTGAAATGATACTTGCTGCCTTTTTTCCCAGCTAGTGGTGAAGACGCAGGGGCAGGAGGTAAGGGTAGAGTGGGGAGGAGGACAAGGTAGGAGACAGGTAGGAGAAACAATGTTTGGGTTCTAAAAGTACTTTGGTAGGGGAGCACAGGGCTTCATGATTCTGCAACAGGTGGTACGAAGTACAAAATCCAGGCTTTTTTTCTTCACGTAATGCCTTGCTTAGAATAAGAAGTCCACTTGGAATATACGTGCAGCTTATTAATTGCATGTGAAGTGCATGTAAAATAAATAAAAAAAAAAATAAAAAAATGAGGGAAAAGGTATACTTTAACAATTCCATTGTAAAAACGTTTTAAGAAACTGCACTCATATAGGTTTTGGGGTATCTTCAGTCAGTGCAGATGTGACTGAAGTTGTGACTTCTAGTTATACATGATATGGGTAAAAATAGCAGTTCTGTCTAAGTGACACACCTGTGATTGTACAGGCTGTACAGACCTGTAATGGACCCTAAAATCTTATGTGGTTGTCTGGCCCACTTTTTAAGTTCATGCTGCTGACTGTGTAGACACAATTCAAGTAATGCAAGCACTTGCAAAGCTTGTGCTGTGAATGCCTGTACAGCCATCCTGCTGGGGTAAACAGTGTCTTAGGAAACTTGCAGTGCTGTTTCAGTCTTCAGAATGTGATGGAGGTTCACTGTGAATATAATATTGTTGTCACCATGCTGGTTTTGGAAGCTGTTCTATAGACAGTGTTTCTCACTTTGGACTGCAAAGTTGTTATGAGAGCCATCATTAATTTGCCATCAATGGTTCTCAGTCCTGACACTGAACATTTTTTTGAGCTTTAGCTAGTAATTATTCTTATATTAAAAAAATCAAAGCTCCCAGTCAGTCTGTTGTACTTGAACTGAGTTGCAGTACTCTTAAACTCTAAACTGCTTCTGCCTTTTACAATATAGAACAAACACCACATTGTCCTACTATTTTTAAAATTAATCAGAAAGTCTTTTCTAAGTTTTTATTCATGTAGCTCTGAAGTTAACTCCTTTAATCTTAGTTTTCAGTTATAAGCATCTGTCTTTCAAGAGTTAGTAGAGAGCTAGTGTGGTAAGGAAGGCTACCACTATTACTCAGAAACAACAAAACTTGTTTCCTTACCTTCTTGGGAACAAATGTGGGAGGATGAAAATGCTGAGGTGGTCTTTTGCTCCTCTCTCCTGCAAAATAAATTGTTTATCTTAGATCTCAGGTACTAGGAAAAAATTAAGAGGGTTGTTGCTATGACAAAGCCATTGTGCTGACACCAGTCTCCTTGTTTATGAAGGAAATAACATCTACATATTAAACAAACTGACCCTGCTGGCTCCAGTGTTTGCTATTTTACCTGAATCGCTTTGAACTTACAGTTCTTTCAGTGTAGTTAGTCTGATAATCAGCTGTTCTTGTTCAGTATTTTCACTTTCCCCAATAAGAGCAAGGCAAAGAGACCTCTGTAATTGTTACAGAAGTAATAAAGCATATAATTGACCCCCGTGGGAAAATTTGAACTGTAGAAAATTCGATTACAGCTGCCAGCCTACAAAATATGCTGTGCTGTGCAGCCTACGGACTTTTCAAAACAATATATACAACACAAAAGAGGAACTAATCTTTGATTTGTGGCATCATATGGGGTATTGTCAGTGTTTTATTATCTGAAAGTTCTATTCTGAATCCTTTTCTTTAACGACTGAGGTGTCTTTTACCTATACGTTGTCCCATCCACTCTTACATCTCTCTTATCCTTGCTGTTAATTGCATTCATGGACATTACGTCTAATGGGACAGTAGCTGGGAGAAGTAGAGCACCTCAGATGTCTGTTTTCTAAGTATTTTTTATCAACCAAGGCTTGAAACAAAAATTGCTTTTTAAAATATGAACTAGTGGAATTAACTGTGTAATGCAGCTGATCTCTGTAGTATAAATTTGTTATTAAATTACAGTATTAAATTCTGTTTTATGGGAACACAATGTGAATGACTGAGATCTCTAAATGAATGTGTCATTTTCATTTAAATAAAGACCCTATAGTTAATGATACCAAAAACTGAGGAAAAAATAATAAATTCTGCTAATGTCTTTCAGGGATAAAAGTCCCCAGCCCTCAAGAAATATAACGAGTATTTTAGCCTAAATTTTTTTACTCTGCTTTAATAGTGTCCCAAAGACTGCTCCTCAGTGCCAACTTTGATCTCAGTTTCTGCAACAGGAGACAAAGATGGCTTTGCCCAGTGGGCTTTAATTTATGCAAATCAGCAGATGGCTTTGCAGGAATATGATTTGTTATGTTTCCTAAGTGGATGAGTTTGCTTTTTTAAATATCCTGGCAGCAACAGATTTGTCAATATCTTGCATTATATTTTTGAAATGGCCTTTCAATTACTTTAATTGTGGTTTGTTTGATTTTTTTTTTTCCTCTCTCTCTTTCCCTTTTCCTCTTTTATTTTCTCTATAGATTCTGGGACTTTTCCAAGCCTAATCCTTTGCTGGAAACAGTTGAACATCATACTGAATTTACATGTGGACTGGATTTAAGTCTTCACAACCGTGGTCAGGTAGGAGCTGGATGAATTTACTTTTTGCCTATTATAGCCACAATGGTCATGGCTGGACTGCAGGACTCATATCCTGAATAAGTCACCAGATTGCAGAAAGCTTCTGGAAGTGAGTCTGGCTGATTGCTTATTAAATAAACATCATTTCAGGTCCATTTTTATTTATAAAGCAGTTACTTGCATTGGGTAGGAAAGGAGGGCAGGACAGACAAAATAGCAAAATCAGATAACTGAAAGCCATGGTAAGCTCAGGGAAAATGAAGTAGTTTTGTTTCAGAAGGAAGAGTAATAGAGAAGAGCCCAGAATGCAAAGTTGAGATACAGAGCTTTCTTCCATCTATTTAGATTGTCAGGTTAAACATCGGTAGTGTCGCACATGATGCCTAGACCTGGTTTGTCATACTGTTTGGAGGACTGTAAGAGGCTTAATATGTGGTTGAAATTCTAAAATTCTAACTTCCTCAGCTATTATCGTAAATGAGTGGAACCCTTTATCAGTGGCGCTTTTATTTATCTAGTGGTTCTGGTAGGATTCTGCTCTCCTTCTGTTGATACAGTCATTTCTATTTTGTAAGCAGAGGATTTTTTTTGTAGTATGAACTGGTGTTTTTGGACAAGAAACTCAGAAAACCTGAAGTTAATTATTTGCTTTAAAATGAGAAAGCCTTTAGTTTTCACTAGAAAGTACTGTAACTGAGTTAACAGTAACTAATGCATTATTTAATGTGCCACAGATATTACTTACATCTAGATTCCTCTTAAATTCAGAATGAAATGAATTTTTTATCCCAGATAAAAATCTGCATTTGTGGATGCATAACATCCACATTCAAATTCTGTTTGGACAAAGCAAATAAAACCATTGTCATTTCTGCTGATAAAAGGACACAGGAGAAGGGTATAAGTTTGGCAAAATACTTAGCTTAATGCATGTGGAACCATTCTAGCCAAATGATAGCTTGATGAGTTTTCTGCCTGGTTGGTTGTTCCTTTAATTCTGTTGCTTCAGTGGTGCTGCAGTAACTGTTCAGGAGGCCAAGCTGTGAACCACATAGGGGAATTTGTGAGGCTGAAAAAAAACTCTCAACGTTCAGGTTATTTTTTTTATTAAAGCAGGTCAAGAATGCTTAAAGGCCACTTGCTGGGAATTAAAACTTCATCCCAAGTGACTGCATAGATAGGATTCTACCTGAATTGGGTCCAGAGGGAGCAGCAAGCATAGCTTAGTACACTTAGGGCCTCACAGTGCTACAGCTCTGCATGTGCTGAGCCCAGTTCAGCTTTCTATGAAGTTGGTGTGGGTTTTGCATTGGATCTGAATGAGGCAAGAAGATTTTCTTTTCATTTTGTATTGAGGATGTGATTACATCTTGACTGTAAGCCCACGGCTTCGTGGTAGATAATGAATTGAAAGAAAACTGCTGCACATGCACTAGTATGTTGAAAAAAAAGGAAAATGATGGTGTGCATACCTATCAACATTAGGGCATTTGTGCATTCAGGTATCCTTTTTTCCATGCAGAAATTCTACAAGTCCAGTGTTGGACTTAATGCCCAGAATCTGTAAATCTGGGTACATATCTGTATTTACTGCATGCCAATGTGTGTTCCAGACAGAAGTTTGGCATTTGCAACAGCTTTAATATTCCTCTGTTTTTTTCTGTTGAGTTCATTTAATCTATTGTGAGGGTTGGATATCACAGCAATGCAAAATCTAAATGTTTTGGTTTTTAAAAGAAGTTTAAAAACCTGTGATAGAATTAAACTCTCACTAAGTTAAAGAATGAACACAAGGGAAACTTAACCCTCATTTTTAAAGGAAGACCAATGAGACATCACCTTGAGTACTCTGTTCAGCTCTGGGGCTTGCAGCAAAAATAGGACATGGACCTGTTGAAATGAGTCCAGAAGAAGGCCATGAAGATGATCAAGGGGCTGAAGCACCTCTCCTGTGAAGACAGGCTGAGAGGGTTCTTCAGCCTGGAGAAGAGAAGGCTCTGGGGACACCTTATAGAACAGTACTTAAAGGAGTCCTCCAAGAGAGCTGGAGAGGGACTTTTTACAAGGGCATGTAGTTATAGGACAAGATATAATGCCTTCAAACTGAAAGACGGTGAGGTAGGTATAAGGAAGAAATTATTTACTGTGAGGATGGTGAGACGCTGGAATAGGTTGCCCAAAGAAGTTGTGGATGGAAGTGCTCAAGGCCAGGCTGGATGAGACTTTGAGTGACCTGGTCTTGTGGAGGGTGTCTCTGCCAATGTCAGGGGGGTTGGAACTAGATGATCTTTAAGGTCCTTTCCAGCCCAAAGCATTCTGTGATTCTGTGAATGCTTACTGAATAGTTGCTTCCAGTATGAGCACATGCAGCCTTTCCCTGGCTTCTGCATCAATGCAACAAAGATAATTTGCTTTAATTTTATGCTGCTGTTCCCAATATGTAGGTTGCCTTCACGTCTGCTCTTTATCAATCTGATAATGAGCTCTATTGTTTATTTTATTCGTGTATTTGCATGATTTGTGATTTCTCATGTATGCTTTATAAGGAGTTACGACTTGAGATTTGAACTGCTTCTCTCCTTCAGGGAGATGGAGAAGGAGCATCCAGGGAGAATGCAGGGTATTTTATTCGTAATGGACAAGCTATTCATTTATACTCAAATTAAGTATCATTCTGGTAATTTACCTTTGTTTTCATTCTTAATGATATTTTTGTTGTCTAGACAGATTGTTTTATTTGGCTTTGCCCAATGAACTTCAGCATTTTGAAGTATCTTTTGCGTGTCAAGGGAAAAACTATCTGCACTATTGGAAAAATGTTCAAAATAGATATTATGATTAATTAGCTAACATAGGAATTATGAGACATTCCTGTGGAACTGATTGAGTTTTGAACAGAACCCTCAGGCACAGAGAAGGTACATGCAGGCAGGCTGGTTCTTGCACAGTATCTGCTAAGGGAGGCAATATGTGGAGAGAGATCTAGTCATAAGGAATTGGTTGTGAAAGGACCCATTAGTATTAGCTGGATGAAACAGAAAACTCCTTTGACCTAAATTAAAGATTCTAGTATCTGTTTTGGAGTGTGTGCCTCTATGTAAAGTAAGTGTTTTTTGAAAGCTTTGCATTTTAAAGATCAGCTGTTGTTTGGTTTAGTTTTTTCCCCCCACCATAATGTTAGTGTTAGGTTCACAGCAATTTGAAACAACAAACAAACTTTCAGATGCATAGAAAGATGGGTACTTCACAGTGCAAAGCATTAACAGAAATGATCCTCATGATATTCAGGGTATTTCTCTTTTAAACTGCAAGTGCTGATGTGAGAGCTTGCCAGGCAGGTTGTCTAGGAGAAAATACTCCCAACTCCCCCTTTCAGCCAAAGTAGCTTTGGCACACACAAGAACAGTGACAAGACCCTAAGCACCAAAAATCTTTTAAATTTGTAATGGTGTGTAGCATTAAGAACTGAACAAATCTCTTCACCTTGTCAGCCACATTAAGAGTATGCAGTTTTTTAAACCAGATAAGTTCTTTCTGAAGTTTGAGGATAAGGGAAACAATTAAAGTTTGCTTCTTTCTATACACGCTAGATATGCATAGGAAGTATGTAGGGATTATAAAACTGGTAATCAGCTATGTAGACCACATAGTGGAGTTGTACTCTGTAGCTCACTGGATTTCTTATTTCTCTCCTGATACTTACTTTCCCTGTATGTGATCTCTGAATGTTCTGATGAATTAAAATGTAATACTCCTTTAAGCCTGTCTCTTACTGGGATTTTGCTGTGTTTACATTTGTGCTTACATGCTGTAGCTAACTTCTTTTGGTATTGTTTGTGCAGCTTTATTTAAAAGCAGCCTTTTTCTTATGCTGTAGGTTAATGTGATATGGCAGTCATGAATTAATTTTAGATGTCTTTAGGCAATCCATTAATGACACAGATAAAAAGTACAGATCCTGTGAACAGTCACTTCTTGTCTTGATTCTGAAATTATTTCAATAAGTAAATGAAGAATAAAAAATGCATATATACCACAAATTTCTTTAAATCATGGACAGAAAAAATACCCAGCCATTTCTGTTGTAATTCTAAAGCTGTATTTTGCTTTACACAAACGTGAGAGATGCAGAAGCTCTGAATTTTGTCTGAAAACCTTTTTCAGCTACACCTCACATCTGTTCTCAACTCTATAAAGCAGCCAATAGAAAGTATAAATTAATGCTTTCCATCGAGTCAGGCTTTCTGTCTTCTGCTGAGAATAGGATTAAATATCTAATGGGAACAGGAGAGGAATCTTTCCATTTCTCTATATTTTTATGTTGCACACAATGACATTCGTAGGTTGCAAGGATACGTGATTTTTAACGGACGTGATGGCAAGTGGTGTAGTGGCTCAGAACACTTGATATGCGAAAAGCACGTTAGACATCTGTGACATGCCAAATCAGAACAAGACTTCATGACATACAATACTGAGCTAGCTCCCTTAGGAAATTAAAAATGTTCTGCACCAAATGAGGGTAAGCCAAATGTCGGTTCTGTAGTTCAAAATCATCTTGTTACCTGAATGCATGTTGAAGTCTGGGTTTTAGAATAACTTATGTACAGCACAAATAGCGATCACTTATGATTTGTTTTTACTGTGAATGTGTGTGTTTGGATCATAATTACACTACAAATAGACAGCTGTCTCTCTAAATAGTTATTTCTGTCAACATAGGTTGGGAGGAAACTTGTTTTCTCTAGTCCTCTGTCTGGCTGCACCTCCTTATTTTTCCAGTTCTCCTCCCCTCCGCCTGGTGGGGTTGGAGTGAGCGAGCAGCTGTGTGGTACTTCATTGCCGACTGGGGTTAAACCATGATGCCCAATCCATAATACCACATATTATGTATGATACATTGATAATACCAGTGGAGGACCCATGACTCTTCTGCTCTGTGTTACACTGTCCTTGTGATTCAGCTGTCCTGAACCTCCAGCTTCTTCTCCCTAAAGCTG